TCTCAATTTTCTCAACCGCGCAATTCTCTCTTAATTCTCCCAATCAATCTGCTCAATTCTCTCAATCCACTCGAAAAATGGCAAGTGGAAGTCGAGTGCAAACTGGCAAAGGTAAGAATATCATGACGGAATCACATCATTCTTTTGATTCTCGTGATTATGCAGATTTTCAAGATGATGAAATCAACATTTTTCCCGATGTGGAGCGCGTCCCGACGCAAGAAAGTTTTCATCCTCCTGCCCAAATATCTACAACAAAGGAGGCGGAGCAGGAACTTACATCTGACATTTGGGATCACTTCACGAAAATGGAAAGGTTTGATATTGGTGAAAAAAGGTATGATATATTTGTAAACATTGTGGGAAAATATATAAATATACAGGTGGACAAGGATATGGAACATTCAAACGACATCTTAGGAGCAAACATCCAACCCAAGCGGGAATCGATATCAGGCAACAACAAATTTCCGGGTACGTCAATCCTAACACTTCCCCTTTATTTCATTTTAATGAAAAAACTTATAAGGAAGAATTAGGTAAATTTGTTTCTGTTGAGCATTTATCATTTAGTTTTGGAGAAAGATTTGGTTTTAATCAATTTGTACAAAAAGCATGTGCTCCACAAGCAAAACGTGTTCCTAGAAATTCACTTAAACGAATAATTAAAGATCTTTACAGAAATGGAAAAAAAGGATTTACAAAACTTTTTTATGCAATTTAATGGACGCGTGCATATAGGTAGTGATATTTGGAGTGATCATTGGCAAACGCATTCTTACATGGGCATAACATGTCATTGGATAGATGACGATTGGAGTATTCAAAAAAGAATTGTTGCATTTAGAGTTTTCGATGATAAGCATACGGCAAATAATATTTATAGAATGATTAGGCAAATTTTAGAAGAATATTATTTGCTTAACAAAATTTTTTCAATTGGTTTTGATAATGCCGCGGCAAATACCGCTTCAATTGCCGATTTAGAAAATATTTGTAAACCCGCTTTTGGCGGGAAATTTTTTCACGTTAGATGTGCTTGTCATGTTTTAAATTTATGTGTACAAGATGGTTTGAAAACTCTTGATATTTTTCTTGAACTAATAAAAACGGCGATTCAATTTTTATGGAAACATCACCAAAAAATGAGAGAATGGGGTAAATTTTGTAGAAAAAATGCCAGAAAGCCAAAAAGATTTCCAAGAGATGTTCCAATTCGTTGGAATTCTACTTTTCACTTGCTTGGTGAATCTTATGAATATAAAGATTTATTATATGCATTCATTTCTAATAATATACCTTAGATTAATTTATACCCACAAAAGTGGGGTATTTGCAAAATTTTTTTAGATATTTTAAAGGTTTTTAATGATGCAACTTATACTTTATCCGGTGTTTATTATCCTACTACGCATTTATTTTTATTAGAGTGTATTAATATTGTCGGAATTTTTGACGAATATGAAAATGATATTGAATTACAACATACTATAGTAACAATGAAAATGAAGTGGCTACATTATTATGGCGAAATTCCCATTATTTATTTAGTTGCTTGTGTTTTTTATCCGCTTTGCAAATTAGATGGTTTAAGTGATTGTTTGCATACGTATTATCAATATTTACATTATGATGCGATAAATGTTACAACCATAGTACGTGAGGTTAAAAACGTAGTAATAGAATTATATAATGAATTTTCTACTAAATATAATTTCGGTGATATTGGATCTTCTCAATCTACCGAGACACAAAATGAGAGTACAGGTAAAATTAGTAGAGGGTACCAACTTTTATTAAACAGACACAAAAAACAAAATGGAGCAATAGGAAATATTTCTGAATTAGAGATTTATCTAACCGTCTCCTTTGAGTTTACTGATTCCGAATCCGAAGGTAGTACATGTTTTTTTAATTTTGGATTGGTGGAAGAAGCATGCAAGCCAATACCCAATCCTTTCTCTTATTGCAAAACAAAATTTTGCAACCCCTTGTTCCACAGTTGCCGTCGAACAAGCATTCAGTGCGGGAGGTAATATTATGGACGAACATCGTTCAAGATTAGCTCCGGAATCAGTGGAGATGCAAGCTTGTGTCGATGATTGGACGAAGGCTCAATACCGACAACAAGAGATAGATCGGAATAATGAATCCGAATTCTTTAACGACGGAGATACCACCGGTACCGGAACCGGAACGGGTAGCGACGACTGAGGATAAAAGAACTGTTGGAGTTGGCAAATATTTCGGGGACCCTTGTTTCTCATACCGGGCACGCCCACGTGGGCTTAGGGAAACCGAAGTATAATCCGACGACATGTGACCCCTGCACACGGAATGCGGGGGTTCGGATAGGCTTAGGTTTTTGGGTCATTTTAGGGCATATATATTGTGCTCATTTTTTTTTTATAGATCATTGTAACGAATTGTAAGGCGCTTAATGATAATTTATTAAGTTCAAGCCCCCTCATTCTCTCTTTTTGTCCCCAAATTTGATTACAATTTACATTTTGATTACAATTTATATTGAATAATTCATTATTTCATAATTTCATTATTTTTTTTATTTAATAATTTTTTTAAAAAATTTTAAATTATGAACCGGAACCGGTAGGAACCGGAACCGGGACCGGGACCGGAATGAACCGGCCCGGAACCGGAACCGGACCTAAACCGACCCTGAACCGGGCCGGTTCCGGCTCGGAACCGGAACCGGCCCGGAACCGGACGGTTCCGAACAGGAACTGGAACCACCAGTTCTAAACTGGAACCGGCGGTTCCTGAACCGTGGCCATGACTAGTTGAACATCTCTCGTCCTTTCATTCTCTTCTCTCCTTTTGTTTTTATAGAGATTTTGGTCAGTCAAAGTCTTTGCTCGTGAAATCCTCCAGTGCTGTTGCTTTCTTTGCTCAATTTTCCTGACATGACGGTCGAACATCTCTCGTCCATTCGCTCTCTTCTCTCCTTTTGTTTTTATAGAGCTTTTGTTCAGTCAAAGTCTTTGCTCATGAAATCTTCCAGTGCTGTTGCTTTCTTTGCTCTATTTTCCGGTCATATCAGTTGAACGTTGTTCTTACTCCTAACTTGTATGACGGGCATTCACATTCGTCAAACAATAGCCGCGATGATTGAAAAGAGAGAGAGGATAACAGACATGACGAAATTGTTACTGGGTGATTGGAAGAGGCAAGGTGGGATTTATGATAATTTAGGTTCGTTTACCATAATATCTTTCATTTACAAAATGGATGATTTACGCAATTTCGAGTGCAAATTTCAGGAATCAAAACTGCAGCCTTTTTTTTTTAATATAAAGGAAAGACAACAGAAGATTGTGAGATGAATCCTTAGAAACATCGCTAGTATAAACTTTTCTTGACTATTGAGATCTAGACATATCTTTATTTTTATATTAAGAGCCATGTTAACGAGTGCCTTCGAAACATTCAATTAAGCATATTTTATATGGAATAACTTCTATTTTTCAAAACTTTATATAACACGAGAAAGCATTTTGAAACTGCAAAATTTCTCTAATTATTAGTTGTTTAATAAGTGTCCTAGAAATTCTGTGAAGAAGTTCAAAAGTTAGACTTCATAGCCTTCTGCAGATTGGGCTTGAGATTGTTACTTTTATAGTCAAAGTCTGATTTCAATTACTTAAAGCTAATGTTCAAATAAAAGATGAATAGCAACCGACATATTCATATACTTAAATGTGAACGGAAATTTGTGAAGTGCGTGATTTAGAAAAGGTAATGGATTCACAATTTGTTCCTTCTTAAACTACCACTTACTACCCGATCAAAAAACAAAACTACTACTTAGTCAAATTTACATGTTAATCATTCGAATTATTGTTACGTCCACTATTCATGTAGAAAAAATTCTTACACAATCACCGTTGGATGAGTGGCACTTGTGTTGGAGTTACTTTGTAATCGAATTATTCTACCCGTGGCCAGTAACCGGCCATTGCAAAAATCTTTAAAAATTTTAATAAAAAATTGCAAAAATCTTCTACGACAATGCTGACTGTGCGACATAAGATAGCCGACGCCTACGTGAGCGATTTCCGATCAAAATTGATCAGAAAAACTAAATTAGTAAATTGTCAAATGGTTTAGGACTAAATTAGCCAAAATAAAAAGTTTAGAACTAAATTGTCCGTTGAGCAATAGGTTTATCATTTTTTGGACAATTATATCGATAAAAAACAGTGTAAGCCGACTAATTGGCCGAATGATCGGAAATTGAGTATGTGAAGAATTTTGAGTCGGACTGAGACAAAAAACCAAAGTATACGGTGTTGACTGAGCAAAGAAATAACGCGGCATTGACCGAGAAAACCATGAAACTACAGACGGCAAGTTGGAATTAGCCCAAAAGCAGAGATCATGATAGTGGATCTGAAAGGGGAATATATGTTACAATTAATAATATTAGTTATATTAAAACTAGTTTACAATATTATTGTATTAAGTTAGTAAGATGCCTATTGATAGAGAAAAATGATGAGTGAAAGACAAGATTAGACAAGATTAATATCGAACAGTTGATATTGAGATAAATAACTTTTAAAATTCGAAAATAAGTAGAGAGCACAGTATCGAGAACAGGTAGATGGAGACTTGTTCTCGTGAATAATGAACTATTGTGCTTTCAATTCAATTTAAAGCACAATAGTTCATTTTTTTTTTTACGATACTTGCTAATAATGTCAAAAACTTAGAAATCGCAGACAAGTTTCCTTCCTAATTAATGTGAAAGGCATTCATAAAATTAGTCCACCACGTGTTATGTTAGCTTGCTTGCGTGTACGACAACCTCTGCTTGATTTCCACTGATGGAACCTTCGGTTGGTCAACATAATATACTTTTCTTAACTTGACTTTGTCTTACTGATTGACTTGGACATTCCTTCTTTTTAGTCGGAGACTTGGACATTTCAATGTTAGATGAAGCCCAACTGATCTTTTCGATCGATATAATCCTTCCCTTTATTCAGCCTCCGCCACAATAACCAAGCTCAAACTTCTATTCTTTCGTCAAGTAGTGGGGAGATGATTAATTCTCTCGGATCCATGGTTTTGTACCGTGTATTTCTACTTGTATTGCAGGTTCTACTGCTAGGGGCGAGTTGCAATGCAAAGAACAATCACTCATGCGTTGCTTCATCTTGCGGCGAGGTCCGTAACATAAGCTTTCCCTTTCGATTGAAAGGCGATCCAAATAGCTGCGGCAACTCTAAGTATGAGTTAGCTTGTGAAGATAATCGCACTGTTCTATATCTACGTGCTGGCCGATATTATGTAAAGTCGATCAATTATAATTTCCATTGGGATGGAGAAAATAACTTCTATGGTACCATCACGGTGGCTAATGATGGACTGCAAAATGGTAATTGCTCGTCCCTCCCTCGTTACTCATTAGCACGTTCCAACTTCAGAGGCTCCTCCATTCCATATTATCCTTCTTATGAATCCTTACTAGCATCGGTGGTCTTCGTGAAGTGCTCACAACCCATTACTTCTGATTCATATATCAATACCAAACCATGTATTGATGGAGCATACTCTGCCGACATGCCCCCTAGTATTTCCCAAATGAAGGAGTACTCATATGCTGTACATAATGGCTCTGGTCTAAAGGTAGGTGATATCAAGGATTCTTGCACCATAACCATGATAGCATTGGCATCGGATATCTCGGGATGGAAAGGAGATCAATATAATGGGAGCTCAACATACAAGGACCTCCACAACATGATGTCCGAGGGATTCGATCTCACCTACAGTACATATTCAACTTCATCATTCACATGGTATTCGTTTTGCTTCATGGGTTTCAGATATGGAGGGACGGGGTGCCTATCCTGTAAGTGTCTTTCCATGAAACTTTTTTTTCTTACATATATAAAAGCTATTCTTGAATGATATTGCATATATTGATATATAGATCGTGTAGACCAAGTTCACTTGAACCATTAATTATATAGTTTCACAGTGAGAACCATATGATTATTGATTTGAACAATGTTCATTCACATAACTCGTAGACCATACAGTTCGGATTTTACATGATCCAACTTGGGTAAGAAGTCGATAGAGGTGTCAAAATGGGTCATGGACCCATTGTTTGACTTGTATTTTCAGGACCAGATTGTATATGGATTTTTTAAATATTAAAGGGTCATGTAAACGTATGTTTTTTTTTTTTGGTCGAATATGTAAACGTGTGTTAAAAAGTTGAAGTTTAATCAAATTGGGTCTTAATGAATTTCTGGAAAAGCCATTTTTGGGCCCATTTTTGTCCCTGACCAAGACGGCAAATGGGTCGGGCTTCAAAGAAGAAGGTCTTGATGTAACGCCCCTGTGTAGTCCACCGAAGTTTAATCTCGCTATTGTGATCGATTGCACGGTCCACTTTCTGCAACAATGACGAGTTGTGCCTACTAATAACGGTAAATTATGTGTAGCACCAATTATATGACTTCACATTCTGACGTGTGTCATACCTTAATGTCAATAAGTTTTCTACATTGAACACAACTTAAATAAAACAATATACTCATTTCCAATTAGAGTAATATGGAATTTTCATTTTGAAAAACATAATGATTTTCTAACATTTAAATACTTTTCTGTTAAAAGTCGTAAATTGGGAACAGAAGCCCCCAAACAACCTTTTAAGTCTATGCATATGAATCTATTATTGGTTCATTTCCTTTTCTTATATTATTGCTTGGCATTGTTTATTGGTGCCAATTTTTTGAATTTAATCCAATTTGTATTCCTTCCATTGTTAGTTTCTATTATTATCCATTGATTGGTCGTTCATTGTTCGGAAACTTTTAATGAATTTTCTTGTTTTTGTGCAGACAAATCTGTATGGGGCATCACCGTAAATGTTGCTTTAGAAACAATTGCAAATATCCTCTTTGTATTTGGTATGAATAATTATTTTCTGCTAGCAGTTTTCAATATCTCACTTGTACCACGCCAAACAAAAAAACCTTTTTAAATGTGCTTCACGTCAATAGAAAGACCTAAGAAAAGATTACTCTATGCTAATCTTTTGACAATTTTCTCTGCAGTTCACTTCATCGCCGCAAAATTTGTACTCGGAGCGCCATGTGTGTTGATATTTCTAATCTATAAGTGGAAGAGAAGGCACTATGCAATGGATGCAAACATTGAAGAATTTCTGCGAGCTCATAACAACTTTTTGCCTATAAGGTACTCTTACTCGGACATCAAGAAAATCACAAAAAATTTCAAACACAAACTAGGGGAAGGAGGATATGGTTCCGTGTACAGGGGAACACTTAGAAGTGGCAATGAAATTGCAGTTAAGATTTTGAACAAACCAAAATCTAATGGCCAAGACTTTATAAGCGAAGTGGCTACTATTGGAAGGATCCACCACGTCAATGTCGTGCAACTTGTTGGCTATTGTTTCGATGACTCCAAACAAGCTCTCGTGTACGATTTCATGCCGAACGGATCTTTGGATAAGCACATTTTTTCTAGAGATGACAATAGATTTCTTGATCATAAGAAATTATACGAGATCTCTCTTGGTGTGGCTAAAGGAATAGAATATCTACATCGGGGATGTGACATGCAAATTCTACATTTTGACATCAAACATCACAATATTCTTTTAGACCAAAATTTCACTCCAAAAGTTTCTGACTTCGGGCTTGCAAGACTTTATCCCGCAAACCACAACATAGTATCATTGACTACTGCAAGAGGAACCTTGGGATATATGGCTCCTAAGCTATTCTACAAGGACATTGGTGGCGTCTCTCATAAAGTTGATGTTTATAGTTTTGGGATGTTGCTAATGGAAATGGCCGGTAGGAGGAGAAACGTAAATGCAAATATTGAGCGTTCAAGCCAAATTTATTTCCCTTTGTGGGTTTATGATCAACTCGGCAAAGAAAAGGAGGTTGAAATGGAAGAAGTAGAAGAGGAAAGAGAGATATCTAGAAAGATGGTAATAGTTGCTCTTTGGTGTATACAGTTAATGCCCGATGATCGGCCATCAATGAGCAGGGTCCTAGACATGCTTGAAGGAGATATTAATAAATTGCGACTGCCCCCAAAACCGCTTTTATATCCGTCCGAGAAGCCAGTTGATGACGTCGACATTGAAATAGAACTTGAGTCATTCTCAACCTCATCAAGTGCCCCAACAACTTCTGACGGGTACCAATTTCGGAATAACAATGAAATTACGGATTCATGCATTGTTTAATTTTCTTTTCTCCATGTGGGAATGAAATGCAAAATGGACATAGTTGCATCAGAAGCATAATTGACATGTAATTGGTGAACCTAGATGATTTCAGGGTTTGTTAATTCCTGTGTTTTGTAGAAGAATTGCCTCATGGCTATCTATTTACGCTTCTTGTTTCCTAAGTGCTTTTGATCTAATAGACCAAGCTCGTCTTGTATGAAGTAATGAGTCTTTCTCTCTTCTCTCCACCGTCCAATATCAAGCAGATTCAAGTCTCTCCCCTTCTCGCCAAAACCTCTCACCCTCGATCCTCGACTGCCACCCGATCACCCACCTCGATGGCGGCCACCTCCACAGAGCAATCTCCTGCCTCGACCTCATGTCCCGTGATGGGTCCCATCCGAACTCCTCCCCTTCTCTCTCCTCCTCAACTCCTGCATTCGCTCCCATACGTTTGCACTCGGGAGGCGTGTCCACCGCGCTTGCTTAGTCCCAACTCAAGCCCGACTCGACGATTCTCAACTGAGCTCATCAATCTCTACTCAAAATCCAATGACTGGGCTGAGGCGGAGAGGATTTTCATGGACATGGGTTGTAAGAGGGATTTGGTTTCAACTCGCATGGTATTCGAGAAAATGCTGGAGAGGAATGTGGTTGCTTGGACTTTGAAATCATAGAAAAATAATTATTTTTATTTCTTTTAGTTTTTTTTTTGGAATTATCTTTTTGCTGGAAGATGAGTCTTGTGACCTGAACTCGTAATTTTTAAGTATAAATATAACTTTTGCCAAAATAAAACTCGTAACTTTTGCCAAGCGTTTATATTTAGTCGTGTTTTGAAAAGTTATTTTTTAATTTTCAAAAGAGGAAATCATTTTCATGAATCTAATAATAGCATTTCCATTGATTATGAAATTTTTTTCCGTTAACTCATTTTCCTAACAGATCCTAAAGTCGGAAAATGTTTTCCGACAGAAAATTTTCCGCGAATCAATTAAAAAGCTAGCCATCTTCTTTGAAAATGACTTTCACAGAAAATATTTCCTTCTACGAAGAAATTTTTCGCGAAACAACCGAAATATTAATGCCGTTGGTTCTGATATTGGAAGTCTAATCTTGGAAGGACAATGAATTGACCCAAGTGAATGCAAACAAGAAAATGCGGACGTGTTGAATAAGCAATAAGAAGAGTATACATAATCATATTAGAAATGTGTAGTAAATTTAATGAACCAAGAAATTTCAGGGCATAGATATTGGACTTTTACGCTCCGTTCATTTCGCAAAATATGTGACGTTTTTGGAAAATATTTTCCATAAAGTTATTTTCAAGGAAGATAACAATATTTTTCGATATTTTGCTAAAACTTGAAAAATAAACTGGAACATATTGTCCGTCTTTCGGTATGGAAAATCTAATTTCATTTTCCTCCTTGCATTCCTTTTAAAAAAATTCGAATTTTTAATTATTTTTATTTTTGAATAATTTTCTATATTTCTTTTCTTTTCTCCTTTTTTTTTCTTATCTTTCTTCCTTTGCAAGCCATGGCGATGGTCGGCGACCAGCTATAGGCAAGGGACGAGCTCACCCAAGGCCGACGACGCCGGCCTCGCCTCCCCTGTCCTCACCTTTGAAGGAATGTGAAGGAGTGTAGAGAGAAAAAGAGTACAAAAAATATTTTCTTCACTTTTAAAGGTGTTCCTTCGCTCGAGCTTGACTAGTTTATTTTCCGTGAACCCAGCCCGTGGCGGAATATCCCGAAAACATTTTCCTTGCATTTGCGTGTTCTATTACCGGTCAAAGTCAACAGTCAAGCCAGTGGGACAGAAGTCAAAGTCGTCGCTGATTGGTTCAAATCGCTGCGCGTTCCCGCACCGAATCCCCTCCCCCTCTCTTTCTCTCTCCGACAGAACTGAAACTCAAGAAAGCTTTCCGATGAGGAGCGCTCCCCCGCACGTCGTCTTCCTTCTCCTCCCACTCTTCGCTCTCGCCACCTCCGTCCATGGCGCCGACCCTCTGAACCAATTCTGCGGGCGCACCGGCAACTTCACCGCCAACGGCACCTACGAGGCCAGCCTCAGCACCCTCCTCGCCTCTGTTGCAGCCGCCGCCAATTCCGCTGCCGACGACTATGGCTTCTACAACCTCTCCGCCGGCCGGAGCCCCGACGCCGCCAACGTCGTCTCCCTCTGCTGGGGCGACGTCGGGGCCACAGACTGCCGGAGCTGCCTGAACGACTCCGCCGCCGAGATCGCCCGCCGGTGCCCGGCGCAGAAGCAGGCGATCCTCTGGTACGACAACTGCATGCTCCGGTACTCGAACCGATCCATTTTTGGGGCCAAGGAGGATATGCCTGACTTCTCCATCTCAAACCCCAACAATGTCACCAACAATGTCGATCAGTTCAATCAGGTTCGTAAACGGAAAGTTATTTTTTACGTGCTTATGATCAGCTGTTCCTGATTTTATACATTGCATTGCATTTCGTTTGTTTCCATGAAAGCAGAGTGCATGCTTCTTGACGTGTTGACTTCGTTGACTTTCATCGAAACTTTCCAAAGTTCTCGACGTAGTAACCATGAGAATCCTCATCTCCGTTTGACAATGTGCCCGACAATGTGGATCAGTTGGATCAGGTTGCTTCACGAGTCTAATTCCATCCTGGTTAGATGCACTTTGTAATGCTTTACCCTCTCTTTTAATATCACCCATTACTTGTACGGTTAAGGGGATAATCCGACCATAGCACTCGTCATTAGGATTGCTTTTCTTGTTTTCTTGACTGGTTGAGTGTGGACCAACCAATAGCCCATTTTGAAGTGCTAGACAGTTTCCTACAGAGCACATGGTTAATCATGGTGCTAACTATGTTTTTGGTTTCTTGTTGCTTTTTTTCATTGTCTCTGCAACTTGTTCTCAAAGAATGTGTCTTTTCCCTTTCGTCTTGAATTCTTATACATTATGTTTCCGTAAGCCATTGGGATTGGCACATAGCTTTTCAGGGTAGTATGAGCTCACAGGCGCATTTGATTTTAGGTATCGTTCTTGGATAGCAGCTAACAATTCATATTGCATTAAGATTGAGTAGGATTTTATGGTTTGGGTCGTGACAAAGTACTAGTTCTTGTTTTCTTCTCCTGACAGTAGCTTCTAGTTTTGTTCTATTTTCTAGGTTTTGAGAAATCTGATGGATGGTTTGAGAGACCGAGCTGCAAGTGGCAATTCGACGAGGAAATTTGCCGTCGGAAACATGACAGCTCCAAACTCCCAAACTCTGTTTGGACTTGTGCAGTGCACTCCAGACTTGTTGCGGCAACAATGCAACAATTGTTTGGTGACAGCTATTGGACGTATTCCTCAGTGTTGTAATCAGAAAGAAGGAGGGAGGCTTTTTAGTCCCAGTTGCAATATCAGGTTTGAGTTATACCGCTTTTTTGATACTCCGGCTGATGAGTCGCCACCATCACCACCACTGGCACCACAGTCGCCAGTTTCTCCTGCACCTACTCCAACGAATAACACATCCACTAAAGGTACTTCCTTTTAATGTACAGTTACCTGTGCCAGAGGATTCTATTTGTGTTTTCAATTGTCTGTAGGATAAACATGATAATAAATGTGAGCAAGCATGCTTTTAATTTCAATGAGCTCCTCCTACAAACAAGGGACTAGGGGTTGTATGTCTCCTTCCCCTGCTCCTCCTCCTTTGAGTATGGTCGCATTAAGTGGATTTTAAAGCATGATGTAATTCAACTTTTGATTCCGAGTGTAATAAGTTCCTGAGACACTTATGTTTCCTGTTGAATGAGGTATAACTAGCAGATGAGAAATTCATGAGATTTCTGATGCATCATGAGTCTTTCTTTCTTTCTTTCAATTTAAGTATCACTGTCTGAATAACACCAAGGACTGCTTTAAATGTGCAACCCCCCCTAAAAACTATTTTGGGTAATTGGGTCTGAACACTGATGTCTATGAGTTTATCGTCTAACATAAGAGCTCTTCCTTTTTCAGGAAAGGATACTAACTCAGGTCATATTGCCCTCATTATCACAATCCCAGCTGTTGGATTATCTCTTTTAATTGCTAGAATGTTATGCATTTGTTTGAGGTCAAGAATATTGAAAGAAAATTACGAAGGTAAGTTCTGATTACTTCTGCATGACTGATTTTCATAGAGTACTGGGTGAATACGATATATGTGAAATATATCAGCAGCCAATAGGTTCAGCCATGATGTGCAAAAGCTAGTAACTTTTCAAAAACTCAGAGGCTGGAGATTTCTGACTAAACGAGGACAGATTCACTATGGGCGATAGTTATCAAAGTTTCCTCATTGCTCTGGAAAACCTTTTATTTGCTACCATCATCCAGAGGAGCAATTTTTCTTCGATTGGATTAACTGTTAAATAAGAATGAAGTATTGTTAACTGTTAAACCAGCAGACAGGCTTACCGATTATGTGGAATTAGACAATAAGCAACTTTACATTTTCTACTTTGTAGCTGTACCCGTAGATGAAATTAGAAATGCAGAATCCCTGCAGTATGATTTGAATACCATCAGGGCAGCAACAAATGACTTCTCTGATGCAAATAATTTGGGAGAAGGTGGATTTGGCATAGTTTACAAGGTAATCATTGCAAATTGTTTGTTCATAAAATAACGAGAGAATTTGAAACATTCATATGTATATGGCTGCCTTTTGCATTCTTTTTCAGGGAACATTGGCCAATGGACAAGTTATAGCAGTAAAAAGGCTGTCTGTAGATTTGGGACAAGGTGATCGAGAATTTAAGAATGAGGTCCTCTTGGTTGCGAGGCTTCAACACCGGAATTTGGTTAGGCTCTTAGGTTTTTGCCTGGAGGGGAGAGAAAGGCTTCTTTTATATGAATTCGTACCAAACTCAAGCTTGGATCACTTTATCTTTGGTATGTTCATGCCATTCTGTTCCAGCATCGTCCGATTCAAGAGTTACTGAAGTGCATGTCGCCAATCTGCATTTAGAAAGTCACCTTGCATTAGTTACATAAGCTATAACCTATCGTCAATTTTCTATGCAGATCCTGTTAGGCGTAGGCAGCTAGATTGGGAAAGGCGTCAAAAGATAATAGGAGGCATTGCTCGTGGGCTTCTTTATCTTCATGAGGATTCTCGACTCCGAATCATTCATCGGGATCTTAAAGCGAG